CACTGAAAACCAAGACAAGTCACAAAGTGCATTAACACTAGAAGTGCCTCCACTTTATTATCAGCTGTATTCTTTTTTTTGCCTCCGGCTACAAATCCTTGGAGAGTTGGCAGGAAGCCAGATGATCAGCTGACAATCACAGCATCAAGAGCAGCAGCGTGCACGAACACAAAAACACTCAAACGTATACACACACTTATACTTTGGTCTAAGTGACATATCAGAGAATGAAACTGAGATGATGACTTTTGATGCAGTGTAATATAGAAAAGGAATAACAAAACGCATCTTAATCTTATCTCTAATTCTTGTTTTTGCAACACATACACACATTAACCTGAAGCTTAAAGCAATCAATGACATTTTTTAAAACTTAAAGGAGGATGTTGTTTTTTGAGAGGGCTCTCTGACAACATTTGCGTTGTATAACTTTTTGTGCATTTCCTTCAAATATAGGACTCTGTTTCTTCATCTGTGTCATTTATTATTTTTTTTTTTTACCTCAGGAGACCCCCCCCGCCCCTCCTGTCTCACAGGGAAAGTCTCCAGCTGTGAGGTGCATGTGTGAACAACCAGATCAGGAGAATATTCGGAGCAGTCCTCCTGAAGTTATCTCGATATTTCCAGGAGTGCAGATATGAAAAAGGCTTTATTTGTTATCAAAAGGCCTTCTTGTAATCTTTATGTTTTATCCGTTTTATCTAATAACTGTCTCTTCAAGTCAATCATTGTTTTCGTCGTTACAATTTTATGGTTTTATTGCTGTGTATTGTACTGTTGGGGTTGTTATGTTCAGCAAAGAACTTTATAAGGTTGGATGTGATAAGCGTTTAGAAACACAGTCGGAGCATTTACAATTTAGTTTGAGATTTTTCTGTCTGTTCAACACTGCAGCAATGAACGCCGTCCTACAAGCGTGTTCAACATCACTTCCTACTATCCGACGTTCCAGGAAGCTTGTTATCCTATCAGGAGAGCACCGTGCTATCTTTATTTTGTTTTCTGTATGCAATGATCCCTCACAATCTACAGACATCTCTTGTTTTCATCTGTTATCTTCTGAGCTGTGATCGCTCACCGCCTGCACGCCGTCTGTTCCCTCACTCGTTTAGGGCTTGTTTCACATTTGATCAAATTCATAAATTCAACCCAAACCACCAACAACAACAGCAGGGTTTAAATTATTACCACTCTCTGATGCATCATTAAACCTGGAAACCTGATCCCTTTGGTTTCAATGTAAGACCCCAGCGGGCAGAAATATGAGTCGGTAATATAACGGAGAGCTGCAGCAGATGGACAGAGTCTGGATCACGAGTCCCTCCGTGTTCAGTAATGCAAATATCACAAATAAAGCCACAACTTGGTGAGCACTATAAGAGTAAGGAAAGGATTGTGCAGTAATTAAAGCACCATGTTTGAAAAAAAGAAACGCTGCAAAGCTTTTGTGTTCTCTAAGACGCACTGCAATAACGTCTAACCTTACAGAAACACTCTACACTACACAACCTGTAAACAAAGAAACTAAACAATCCACATGCACAGGACGACTCGTGAAGAAATGGCTGAGATCAAACCACATGTGCCTGGTTTACCTTTGTGCACACGTCACAGCACCGTGCAGTCAGTCAGCCGAACAAGAACGGACTCTAGTGTCACTTCTCTCTACTGTGAGAGAAGGTCGTGGACTACAGTCACAATCAGTTTCCCCATGCAAACAGTTTATTTTGAAGGTGGACAAACTGAAGTTTGGTGCTTTGTATTGACAAGCTTTACTACTGAAAAGAGTAACTAATTTACTGAAAGGGTAAAACTCTACGTTCATGACATAAAACAAAAGTAAAGACGCTAAAAAATGACTCTCCACTGGAAGAAGGGAGAAGGAACAGTGGTTTTAGTTTTGTAGGAAGGTTACGTGGAGGAAGCAGCTTCAGGGGACAAATCTCTTGGAATAATATATCGTAAAATTGAACTCTGTGACTGTGGCCCTCACACTCACCTGGGGCAAAGCGGTGTTCAGTTGTCTCTGCAGCGAGTCCCTTTCATGGCTGACTTCGTGCAGTTTGCCCTGAGTCAGGCCCAGGTTCTCCTGAGTCTCCCTCAGAGTGTCTAGAAGACGATCCCTCTCCTCCAGCATGGACACCATCAGCGACTCAAAGTGACCCTCTGAGTCCGACTGCAGGGGAGAGCCTGAGCCCCGACGTCCACCGCCACCTCCCCCTTCAGCCTCGCTGATGGTGGGCATCACCTCGCACATCATCTATAGCCCGGGTTTGGACGGAGCAGAGCGGGGTCCAAGGACAGAGCAGGAGAAGAAAGAGTTTAGGTTATTATTCAAAAACATTTCTGTCATTTTTTTCTGCTGTGACATGCTGTGAAAAACTTCTTCTGCAGAGGACCACAAAACTTACACAAAACCCTCTAAAAGACAGTTTAGCCAGTAACTCCCTCACTCTAATATAAACAAACAAACATAAGAAAATGTAAACTCTTCACAGTGAGGTCAGAGAATCATCCAACAAACTTCTTTATTCTTTTGCCGTAACATTCTCCACATATAATTTTCAGAGATGTAAACAAACTTTGAACTTGTTGTAGTTTGCTACCAAATTTAAACATCCACTGCAGCTGGATCAACTTTTAAAAACCAGAGAACAGTTTTCTATGATACTAAAAAAAAAAAAACTTCTGTCTGGAGGTGAAATGGATCACAGTTTATCCGTTATCTGCTCAGATCGTTCCCCAGGATCTGAGTAGCAAAATGAAATAAATGTACAACCGCTAAATCACTGTGCAGAGTCTCAGTGAAAAGAATACAGCATTAAAGTTGTCATGTAGTTGCCATGGAGATCCACTTTACAAGCAGAAAGAAAGTTCAGTCTTTTAAAATGTATTTTTTTGTGGACTTTCACACAGAAATGGTCGTAGGAGAGCATTGATATTTCATTGTTTATGATAACTTTGTATCAGACGCTACTTCAGCTTTCTCTCTTCCATGTCAGTGTGTCAGTTTATCGTGCAGGTATAGCTGGTGGTTACAGGTAACAACAATCACAAACGCAACGATAGTTATATAACAGACAGAAGCGCAGTGTTCGTTCCAAAACCTGAAGATTTACATCCTAAACGCACACTGCGCCAGTGTGTTTTGTCTGACTGGCACTGCACGCGCTGCAGCATCAGCCTGTGAAAACACACACACACACACCCGCTACATGAACAGTGTGTGTGTGTTACCTGTTCAACCTTGTCAAAGCTCATATGAGGAAAAAGGAGTTTACTGGGACTCGCTGCATCGCCCGCTACTTCAGTGTTGGTCACATCTTACCTCAGGAGACCCCCCCGCCCCCCCCTCCCATCTGACAGGGACAGTCTCCTGCTGTGAGGAGCATATGTGAACATCCAGGTCAGAGGGATTTCAGGAGCAGCCCTCCTGATATATTCTAGATATTTTGAGGAGTGCAGATGTGAAAACGGCTTAAGACACACAGCAGTCAAATTCTGGTACCTAAAATGAGTTGAGATCAAACAGGTGAGAGCAGGTGGGCTAATGAGCACACCTTAAAGGCTGAATCTATCTCTGGATGTGCAGAATCAGGAATTCCCCAGCAAGCTGGAAACTACGTCCGTTTCTGGTAAAGCTTTGTAAACAAGGAGGAGCTTTGCCAGGACACGAGTGTGGCCTTCGTTCAGGTGACAAAATGTGATTACATCATAAAATCAGAAGTAAGGAAAATTTAAATGGAATAAAAATGGAATTTGGGGAATAAAATAAAACTGATAGGGCCCTGAACAGCTTATTACAGAGGCTGATAAGCTGAACCTGTTTGCCTATTGTTACTAATGGTGAAGTACTGCTGTTATAGACTTCCCCAGAGTTAGCTAAAGTTCTCCCACATTGTTTCCATTTCTAAAAGTCCAAAGAGCCTTTAATCAATCACAGGCAGCTAAACTAACCGAGTCTGAAGCTCTGTATGTGACATCAGATCAAGGAACAGCTGGGCAGGAGGTCTGGGGAATTAGAACCGCCCTCCACACCAAGGAGCTTAGGTGCTGTAGACAGACTGTTCGACAAAAAGCCAAGAATCATGTGAGCTGGATTTCACATACCCACAAGGGACAACAGTTTACAAGTGGAGGAGGAACTCAGCGGGAGCCGAGTTCGAGGCTACTCCTTCATCTCGCAGTCTTTGCATCCCCCGAGATGCCAAAAGCTCTGTGTGCGCTTCAGTGCACCAACGCTCGACTGTATCTTCCACTAACGGCGTTATAAAACTGGACATCATAAAACTGGACGTCGTTACCTGTTCTTACATGCAAACTAAAAAGAAAGAAAAACAACCTGCAACCATTCACAAACTCAAATTTCATGTTTTAGATGACGACTAAAATTTCTGATGGAAGGAACAAAACTTAACCTAATTTATTTAAAGCAAAACACAAAACCAACGCTCTATATCGAGGTCAAGCCACTCAGGCTCAACAATGTTTATGAGGGGGAGGGTCACTCAGCATCCATGAGAGGGAGTGACAGATGGTGGGTCTAGTGTAAGCACAGAAATCCCAAATGTCAAAAAGTAAAGATTGACAAACCACAGCCTGACAGCAGGACACGTATAACGACTTCAACTTTAGGAGGATTTGTTAACACGGGGCATAGATGATACAGGAGGAACAGAAAAGCTAATCAGGCATGAAGGAAGACTTAAAGGAGCGGACATCGACAGAACTCAATTACAAACGACCTTACTTATAAAAAGGTTTAAATGTCAGGAATAGAGCTAAAACACAATTTTAGAGAATGGAGTCTAAAAGTGGAGGAAAAAAAACGAAATTTCGAGAATGAAGTAGAGATACAATTTTGAGAATAAATCAAAATGTTAAGGATAAAGCCTAAATGTTGTTGGGGAAAAAAGCCTAAATTTCAGGAATTTAGTCCAAATTTAACTTTTCAAGAAAAAAGTCAAAATGTCAAAAATGAAGTAGAAATATCGAGAATAAACACAAAACGTCGTGTAAAAAAGTCAGGAATACTGCTGAAATGTGCAGAATAAACTTGAAAACTATTTTGAGAATAAAAACAAAATATTAAGAAAATTTTTCAGAAAACTCAGGAATATAGTTGAAATAAGATTAATTTGAAATGTCCGGAAAAAAAGTCGAGAATAATGTTGAAAAAAAAAAAAAAGGTTTTTGAATAAAAACTACATTTTGGGAAAAGGCCAAATAAGAATAAATTTAAAATATAATTTCTAGAACTGAATCAATATATAGAGATATGAAGTTAAACATTAAATTAAGAGACTTAATTTAAGATGTAGAGAATGAAATTGAAATGTTTAGAATAAAGTTAAAATACAAATATGTAGAAGTAAAAACAACATTTTGAGTTCAAATTTTGTGAGGGGAAAAAAGTTAAAAATTCAGGAATAAAGTTTTAATACAATTTCGAAGAACGTCGAGTTTATTCTCATAATCTTATTTCACTTTTATTCTTGATATTGCTACGTACTTCCTCATAGAGCATAATGTAAACAACTCTTCCTCCTCTCGTTATAGATTTCTCATAACTGGCCCTAATCCTCCTCTTAGTTCAGACTGATGAAGGAGAGGTAACAGTGTTTACAGGACTCAGTGGGTGACCATAAAATGTGGATAAAACGTTATTATGTTAGTCACTAGTAAGTAAAAACTACAACTTTAACAACAAGTGTGTTAGATCTCTCACCTTGGCTAAATGGAGTTATTCCGGATGCCTCTGAAATCCACGTTATTTTATGGAGTCAAGTAAACAAAGTCCAGGTGCTCCAAATAAAGTCCCCAGCACCAAGAAATATCCCGAGTCAATTCACATCAGAACATGTAGATTCCATTCAAAGGCTGTGGATGCATTAAGGCTGCGACAAGAGGAAAAGATTGGATCCTAAAGGCCTTGAAGAGAAACCCTCAGAAAGTGAGCAGAGGGGGGCAGTAATCCAACTTTGGCCGGCTAACCAACCTTTAGCACGCTGACATCGTTAGCTGGCGACTCGATGACTGCATACGTGGATTAAAGAAGTCCAGAGTCTATCTCTGCTAAGAAAAACCAAGAGATAGAGTCAAATACTCTAAAAAAAAAATCTACATCTCACAACAGGTCGATATGTTATGACACAGTTAGCTGACGTGGAAACAGCTGTAGCATCGCTAGCTTGAGCTAACTTGAAGCGGAGTTCTTTGGCTTGCAGTCCGTTTAAACAGACGGTGGTTAGCTACTAGCCGGCTAGGTAGCTAACGCCTTTGCTAGTTTCAGATGATAAAGATAATGCTCTAATCCCGTATAAAAGTTGACCACCTGATATGGATTAGTATAAATGTGTATCAAACATCGCTGAGAGTGTTATAACAAGTTTTTAAAAACATCCTTGATTCAAACATATTATGAAAATGATTTATCTGTGTGGTTAGCAGCAAGCGGCTAACGTTAGCTTCCCCGTCGCGTCACCACATCACGGCTCGGGGAGAAAAAAAAAAAAAAAAAGTTCCAGCTAACATTGAGCGTTAGCGACGTTTCAGGTCCCGTTTGGGTAATCCAAACTGTAAAAAAACAAAAAAACTTGTATTCCCTTCGTTTTCCGTCCGTGTTCGTGGAGTTGTCCCGGTGTTTCCACCGTCAGTCCGGTCCTGCCCTGTCGCCACTGCCTGCCAGCCTCGGCAGTCGGGACAGCCAATGGTGGGCTCTCTGTCGTTAGCACTTCTCATTAGCCTTCTCTGCTGAATGCTCAGGAGGAGAGCTGCTCAGGCTGGCGACAGGAGGGAGAGGAGGGGGAGGCTGACTCGATTCGGGGGATCGGATCTTTTAGCTCAGCCCAGTTTTTTTTTTTTTAAAGGAGCAATATGTAACCCTGACACCTAGCGTTTAAAACGGGTACTGCAGTCCAAATACAAAACATGATATCCGCCATAAGAAATAAAAAATAAAAACAAGGAAACAAAATCTCCAGTCAACTTAAATTAAACTACAGTAAGGTCTGAAAAAAAACATTTGAAAAATCAACATCCCTTCCTGCTCACTGGTAGTGACTTTTGAAAGAAATACTCATAGAGAGATGTATTTTTACTTTTTATTGAATTTTATATACTTTATATACTAATTGATTGCTGAGGGAAATTCTGGATTACACTCGGTTGAGAGACATGCCAGAAATACACACACATGCACAAACAGGACCTGTGGACATGAATTAATGGTGAGATGTCTACACCGCTTTTCCCATTTTTGGGTGGCAGGGGGACGTAGCTGGTCCCAGCTGTCATTGGACTGGTCGCCAGTCAATCACAGGGCTGACGTATAGAGACAGACCACCAGCCACACTCACACCTATGGGTAATTTAGAGTCAGCAGGTAACCTCACGTCTTTGGACTGTGGGAGGAAGCCGGAGTACCCGGAGAGAACCCACACATGCACGAGGAGAACATGTAGACTCCACACAGAGAGACTCCTGTCAGACGGGGATTCAAACCAGGAACCTCCTCGCTGTGAGGAGACAGTGCTGACCTCTGCAGCACCATGCAGCCAGGATAGAGGTGTAATATATACATTTCTCTGATCCTTCGCTTTTTAAGTTATGAACAGAAAAAAAACTTGGACAACCAACGGCGTCCTCATTCATGCACGGCCTTCTCCGACCTCCACCTCAGCGCCAATAAGTGTGGACAACAGGAATGGGAGGAATACAAAGGAGAAATCCTTCCTGCATATTATCCCATCTCCCCTTATCCCATTTTTCTCTACAATGAGTAAAGTCTTTAACCTGCTCTTTTGTAAAGCGTCTTGAGATAACATTTGTTATGAATTGGCGCTATAGAAATAATGTGTTATCTATTAATCTGTTTGATGCACGATTCCCGATACTGGTTGCTCCCTTAAAGAGGGTCAAAACTCTTTTAATAGTTTAAGAAACCTTATTTTTACATTTATTTGTCAGCTCACTGTCTCACAAAATGAAATCATCCTGACCTTGAAGAGTATCAGGTGCATCCCTGCACGCTATCAATCAAAGATATTGACACACTGGTGCAGCTGTATCTTCTCAGGGTGTTGTTTATATTTATTTTCGAGGTTTTATACCGTGCATTGCATTTATGATGATGTGATTTTATACTGTGCTTTGTATTTAATGTCTTCCGTTTTGTCTTATCTGGACCCTGAGTTGTGATATGATCATAAATTGAGTTTAAAAAGCTTTAACATTTCCCTGAGTGACTTACATTCAGCCGTAACAAACTGAATATCTGGTAAGACAACGCGTTCAATTAAGGCCGCACAGTTTGGAACAGTGGCGCCATCTTGTGTTAAATCAAGCCACACAGCTCATATTTATGATACAGAGTGTATTATATATATATATATATATAGATATATATATATATATATATATATATATATTTTATAATGGGTAAGGCCTAAAATTTATTTTTGCAACATATTTCCCTTTTCATTTTGGCCCTTGTTGACTGCTTTGTTGTTATTGACATTTAGGTGTACTTAGAAGAATAACATTTTGTTTATGGATGGATTGAGAGATCGACAGACAGATTGGTACAACATCCGCCATGTGTCAGACCATTGTGCTGAAGAGGGAGCAGAGCTGGAAGACAAAGCTTTCCTTTTACCGGTCGATCTTTGTTCCAACCCTCCCCTGTGGGTCATGAGTTTCGGGTAGTGACCGAAAGAATGTAATCACAGATACTAGCAGCCGACAGAAGTCTCCTCTGCAGGGTGTCTGGGCTCAACCTTAAGCCGTTTTCACATATGCACTCCGGATAATATCTAGATATTTACAGGAGGACTTCTCTGGCGATTCTCCTGAACTAGCCGTTCACATATGCTCCTCACAGCGGGGGACTTTCCCTGTCAGAGGGGAGGGGGCTCGGGGGGATTTCCCGACGTAAATAATGCAGCCGTTTAATTACGTGCACAGAGATCGTAGTGGTCCCAGGCAGACACTTTAGCCAGTCACTGTATATAAATGTCACTCGGAAAATCTCCGGATTATATGCTGCCGCGTTCAGACATCAGATAACTTGGATATTCTGCGGATAAAATACTAGGGGTCTGGCCGGATAAACTCCGGGTAAAGTCTACGCGAAAAATGCGGCTGTTTGCGTTCACACATAGCCTAAAGAACCTCCGGCTAGCCAAATCTCCGGAGTTTTTCATTAGATTTCCGTATGTGTGAAAAGGGTTTTAGAGATAGGGTGAGGAGCTCAGACATTCGGAGGGAGCTCAGAGTAGAGCCGCTACTCCTTCACATTGAAAGGAGCCAGTTGAGGTGGTTCAGGCATCTGATTAGGATCCTCCTGAACAAACGAACAAGTCAAAGTTTAGGCCAGAGAGAGAGAGAATCCACCCTGGGGTGGGGCTTTTATACCCTGCCAGACACAGGCCCAGGTGCCCTCGATTGGACCATCCAACTCCTCTACCAGAACTAGGGGGGACAGAATCAATTAATAAGATCTTGACTAAGGCAGTGACCGTCACACCCCCCCCTTAAAGTCGGTCTCCCAAGGGGACCACCAGCACAACATCACCATAACCAACCACCGTGCAAAACACCTACCCAATAATACAAACGACTCTACTCAAAATACTTTCAATCACAAAAAAACCCCAAAAACTTATAATTAGATTAATACATGACCTTATTCCTGGATTCACGGCCTGCACCTCCCCCCCCCCCTCCCCCACCCATTCTCAGCAACCCCCTGTACCTGAGGAGCAAATTAAGAGGTAGACACGGCATGACAGCACAGAACAGGTATCGGAAAACATAAGGACAATATATTAAGCCTACAAGCCACAGTAAATTAACGGTCTCCGTAGACACAGCTAGAGCTGAGCGCAGCACTACACAACCTCTCCTGTAAATACCACAGCGACATGCGAGTCGTATGGCTTCAGAAGGTTAACATGGCAGACACTTTGGGTTTTCTTCCGACCCGATGTGGCCACACCACAATTCAAACAAGAACCGTCCTTCACAACAGTGTAAGGACCTGAGAACTTAGCCTCACACGGAGAACCAACGATGGGTATAAACATGGGAACTGGGAGTGGTTTAGAGCTTTCATCCGACACAGGATCAACCGGGGAAGAAGTGACTTCAGGTATTGGTGCAATGTCACTCCAGACTCTGGCTCCAGCCAGGCCATTTCCCAAAATAAAGTGCACACCTTTAATGGGCAACACTGGACGCACACCAACAGCTACTTCACCCTTAACTAGCTCACAGTCAAGAAGCACCTTGTGCAAAGGAACAGGAAGGATGTTCAACCCCATTCCACAACTAAGAACACAATCTCCTGTGTCAGTCTCTCCAGAAAGAGGCAAAACAGAACCAACAATGAAGGAATCATAAGCCCCAGTGTCCCGCAGGATTTTTATGGGCACTTGTTCATTGGTTCCCACAAGCGACACCAACCCATCTCTTATGAAGGGTGCATATGCTGCCAAAACATCAGTCTCACAAGAGTGAGAGGTCATCCGCTCAGCAACACAACAATATTTTACAGGGACTGCACATGCAGCTGGTTTAATATTTGGCCCTCCTGTTTTAGCCATTAACACTGGACAATCTGACTTCCAATGTCCCTCCTCGTGGCAATAGTTACAGACATTCTGGTTATCAACATTAAGGCCTCCTTCATATTTAGGTCTCGAAAATCCGAGTTTCTTTGAACGCATCTCAGACAGCAACACAGAGACGTTACTACGGTAACCAGAAGCCTCTTGTGCAACAGGATGCTACCAAAACCTGCTCTTATGCAGCAACAAATATTCATTCCGAACAAACAGCGGCCTCAGTAGCAGTTGGCACTTTCTGCTCGTTAATGTAAGTTGCAATGCGATCGGAAGACAACTTTTAAACTGCTCCAAAATCATCAGTTCACACAACCCATCAAACGAAGTAACATCAAGCGCAGTTAACCACCGCTTAAAGTGAGTGACAGATCCCTGGCAAACTCCACGTATGTCTAACTGTTTTTCTTCTCCCAGCCTCTAAAACGCTGCCAATATGCCTCAGGCACAAGTTCATATGCCTTAAGCACAGCTGACTTTATCTTAACGTAGCTGGAGCTGTCTTCAAAACTCAAAGCAGAATATGCTTCTTGCGCCTTCCCTGTGAGAACAGACTGAAGCATCAGAGCGCAGTCAGCATCGGGCCAACATCTTGCTCCAGACACACGTTCAAACAACAAGAAAAAGGTGTCTGGGTCTTCTTCATTAAAGCGTGGTAATAGACGCGAGTTATCATTACCATTCAAAATTCAAATTGTAGCACCAGTAGTTTTGGTCAATATAATTTACCTGCTCCTTGATGGCCAGGAAATTTACATCTTCCTTCTGAAAAATCTTGGAGGCGTGCCAGGTGTGGAAGTACATCTGCCTGCAGGTGAAGAGCAGCAATGAAGCGGAATGTGGCAAGGAAGGAGTAGAGTCCTTTTGCAGCAGCGCATTTCCTGACTTCCACTTCCTCAGCCTGTACAGCCAGTACTGCGCTGATGTTTCTCTGCAGATTATGTATTGCCTGGTGTTGTGAGAGCCACCTAGTATCCTTCACCTCTTCAACCTGAGTCTGAGCCAGGAGAGGATACCGGTGCTGTGGAAAACGTCCTGCTTGGTCCTGGTCCCAAAGAAGACGAAACCATCTGATCTCAAAGACTATCGACCAGTGGCTCTCACATCTCATGATGAAAGTGCTGGAGAGGCTCGTCTTGACCCACCTCAGGCCGCAGGTGAAACCATCCCTTGACCCTCTACAATTTGCCTACCAGCCACATCTGGGAGTGGACGATGCCATCA